TTGAACAGATACGACGATCTACCTGTACTACTTTGGTCTATGCCAATGAACTATGCTCCGCTTTGGCCATTCCACATCCTACTGGGCAATCCGCTCCTACCACCTCTCCCACTCCCAGATCCTCTCTCATTTTCCTTCATTCTCCTCCTTCTCCACCTGGGACGACGACGAGGCCTACGACTACAGCTCCCATCTCCACTATATCCCTCCAACCTCTCCTCCCACCCTCACCTTTTCGGACTCGCCTACGACCTTGCCGAGGATGCCGAGATCACATTCTCCCTCTCGTTCACGCTCCCCTCCGCGACGATTTAGGCTATAGCTGATTTCTCACTTACCGAACCACTTACGTATGCGGGAAAAGCCCTCGTCGTACACCTTTTGTTGTTTTGTTTTCTGTCTTTCGTGATCCTGTCAATTGATTCTATCACAGGAGTTGATATTCTCTGCCTTCACATCCTTTTCTTTTACCGTGCGTTATCTTCGGCTTTCCAGCGATCGCTTGTCTCGCCCCTTCATTTCTTTCTTCATCTCCGTTTGCCATGGCTTCGACATCTACACCACTTTGCGGCCTTGCACCGATTCATGGTCTTCCACCTCGTGCTCAAGGAATGCTATATCGAGAACTTCTACTCGTACATGTTCTCTTGGCCCAGGTCCACGCACTGCTCCAGATCCCGCTTAGCATTCGAACGATTCCATTTATGTCTCGGGTGACCAACCCACAACTTCGAGCTCACCTTGAAGGCTTGGACAATACCCTTCTTCTTGCCCTACGTCTCAATCACACTGCCGTCCACTACACCCATGAGCTCCTTACCGCCCTCGGCCTCCTTCATATCATTCGACAGAGCCCGGAACAACTTGAAGATGAACTAGAAGGTCGCACAGATTTCAGCGATCGCGCTCCATCTCGATCGACTACGACTTCCTTGCACACTACCAGGACACGTACCACGGCTGCCCGGATGCCTCTTTCTCCTAGTCCTACGCCTTCTCGTCACGTCCCACGACCTCGTCTTCATATTCGCTCGCGATCCCGTTCCCGTTCTCGGATGCCTAGATCTTAGCCTTCCGGTTTCACCTCACAACTTGACAGGCCGCATCAAAAAGACATGGAAAAGACACTGATCTCATGTGCTCCTGTTTGTGTCCACCTCCTTTATTGACCTTCCTGATCCGATGTCGTACATTCTCCTTCTTGGCTCTAGACTGTGTGACCAACATCTTTCCACATTACAGTTTTCTTCTTCGCAATCACGATTTGAGGTTTTTTCCCTTTTGCTTCTACCTCCGGGCGTTTCGACCTCATGGCGAGTTCATCATTGGAATCTACTCGTCCTCATTCACGACGTGATCTTCGCCGCAGTTCTCGCTCCCGAGATACCAGGCTTCATCATGACGACGCCGACTATGGCGAGGAAGAGAGCACTCCTTTAAAAGAATTTTGCTTTGAATCGGGGTTCCATTATCAATCGGGGTCTC